GTGGGCTTGGCCTAAAACTGCACATGACTCGTAAAGCAGTTCTCAAATTTAAAACAACGTATGTTTTAAAACGCTTGTCATATGGATCGGGATCTAGTCGATACGGAACTGTGTGGCGCTCTCATTTTTTATATCTTCTACCACATTACAAATAAAAAAAAAAACACATACAAAATATGTTATAGTACATTTTCTACTATTTATATTAACAATAAGTTAAAAATAAACATTAATAAGCCCCTCTCCCAATATATATATATTTCTGCTAAACAGTGTATTCAGGTATCTTTCACCAAAACAAAGAAGAGAAAACTCAGCATTACTTGGGAATTTGGATAATTGATGTTTTTTTTTTTATATGCCCATACGTAGAATCCGTCAATTTTAAAATTTCAACTAGCCGTTTTACAAATAATTCGGCTAAAATGTTCCTTGTACCTTCTGTATATAAAAAAACAGAATATGCAGATATAGGCATCTACTTTTTAAAAACATTCTTCATTCCCATTATTTTATTTAACGTACACTGTGCTGGGGGGTGGGGGGGGCGATAGTGAAATAAGTCTTTTAAACGAAAAAAAGTTATTTTAAGAGCGTTACTTTACGTCGTAATTACGGCTATGAATTAAGGTTGATTAAAAAGACGATAATTTATGCCGATGATGTGTACTGGATTTATTGACGATACCTCACGATTTGAGGTGGATAGATTAAATGGAGTGGTGTCGATCAAAGAGAGCTATTAATCAATTAATTTACAGGAACTTTTATTTCTAGATCATTTACAACTGCAGTTACTGTGGCCTTTCTCAAAATGACACGTTGTGACCAGTTTTAGAACCACCGCCTGACGTCCCGTCATGCTCTAAATAATCCACGCGACGGGGTTTTTTTTCTGTCGCTTGTTTAGGTCGTGACGAAGCGTGACGTATTGTCTCCATGAACAGAGGGACGTTAGGAAATAACTTCCTTTTCCCTAAATCAAGCTTCAGTCTTTCATACAGTCTGTTGTATAAAAGCTGCGTGTGTAATTCTAGTCAGGTAAGTTGGATTCAATCTAAACAAATTAAACGTTATTCTAAGGAAATTACACTATATTGATTGAATTTAAAATATAACTTTCAACCAATACAGTTTCATAGGAACAAATGTATATAATATTAATAATGATTTATAATAACATGTGATATAATGAATGTAAAGATTTCCTGAGATTTACACGAAGCGAGAAAATGTGAAGATATTTTTATGTGGCGAATCACTTCTTACGTTAATATAAAAATTTGAGTGGTGTATGTTTAAATATATTTATGTATATTTTTGTTCCCATTCGTATGTCAAAGAATCTAATATACTTTGTTTCCATTATCCAGGTGTCAGGTCAGTAGAGACATTAGTTCAAGAGCCCAAGGTGGTCTAAAATAATGCACACGTGAGGCTGACAAATTCACTAAACTAGCACAACTGCACTAAAGTTCTGCCAGACCCAACCACATTACGTTTAATTAATAATAATTATAGATTATAAAAATTTAAATGAAAGATTTTACATCGGGGAATCAAGACAGTAGGTCTTTATAAATAAAGTTTCACGAAGCTAGTTTTGTCCGTCTTTGATATAGATTAAATGGAAAAAAAGAAAAAAAATTATTAAATCCCAGGTTGACACACTTAGTGCATTCAGAATGCCTAAAACAACTAGCAAACCCAGTGGCAGCGCAACCCCAACAACATCTAAGACTAACAAGTATTCCGCCAACTCCACCGTACCAACGACAATAGCAACAACGAGAACTTCTGCCAGCGGTTTATCCACCAACTCCACCACCATCCTCACAGCTAAAGACACGAGAAACATCGGCGGTATAGCTGCTGGTGCCACCATAGCTGTACTGGTGGTTCTATCCCTCATAGCTGCAGCCATCTTCTTCTTCGTCTACAGAAGAAAACTCCGGAGGTCTCAGAGAGACGCCTCAGTACGCACACGACACAGTAAACTGAGCGACAACACACAACACTGCAACACACTGCCTCGTTATGACGGCATAGACGAACAGTTCGACTCCGAGATGAACCCGCCTTACAACGAACACACATACAATGAAGTGTTTGATCAAATCTACAACAGAGCGGGTCCAATACACCCTAGCGCAAACACTGTTGAGGCTAGTGGTCCAGTAGATCATACTGGTAGCAGATCTATAAACCCTAAAGGTAGCAGTGATATACCTAGCGGTCCCATATACACAATCGCTAGCAGTAGTGAGCAGAGAGTCACCGCTAGTCACGACCAACAACAAAACGTAAACAATAACAAATACCCCAACTCAGGAAATCCTATACAAGACTCTAATAACAAAACAAGACCTAAACTACCTCTACCAGACCCTGGCTCGCCTAACCAACAGACTTCTGTTTATTCTTTAAGTCAACCGGTTCTTGAAGAAACGCAGTATACATCACCACCGCCAGACCCTTGCACACAACTAACAGATGGCAGTTCTCACGCTTGTGAAAATGCATACGTTGAACTAGAAAAAATGGATAACGTTGACGTGAACATGCAGCAGGATACGCCCACCTACTTTGAGCTGGAGAAAGATATTTATCCCGATAATTACAAATGATAAGATATGTTTGTAAATGTGTAATTGTTAAAGTGTAATTATGCAGACTTACTCCAATGATATTAATAGCCTGAGAGTTTTGATATGGGCTCAAGACTAAGGTCTTTCATCCATGCTTTTCGTACAACCGATCGATGTCACAGAAGCACTCTTCTCCATCCGCTTTGTTTAATTTTCGGTCTAAAGTCCATAAAGAGTAACATTACTTTTTTGTCATTTCCAGTAAGCGTGAAGTAATGTATTAGTTTTGATAGTAATCTATTCAATATTATTGTATGCCTAAAATTGATTTAGTCCAGATTACTTTCAAATACCTTAACACCGTGCTTTTTTTTTTGTAAAAAAATAAAATAAAATAGGCGCCTGCACCCAGTGATGGATTGCCTAACTTTTAACTACCTGTTTGAACTTCGATGCAAACTAAACTAGTACTGCAAAGATACGAAATTAACTATCAACAAATTACAATATAATAAATTAATAATAAACAAGTAAAATAATATTTTTTTCCCCACGTTTAAAAAGGTGCCTGTACGCCGTACCGGCGCATACAGTCACAAAAAGGCACTGTATTTGCAGATAAAAATTGGCGTTAATACTCATGATTTACTTTGTATTTTTAAACCTGTAATTTAGCCGATTTCCATTCATCGCACCACCACAACAAACACTGCTAGATATCCATTTAACGTCTCAGATCTATTCAGGTGTGATATAGTACCTGGATAAAGTTGGGGAATGAATATACGTTCTTGAATACGAGATGAAAGAAGCGTCTAACTCTACCTCATTTGACACGAACTCAACTTCATCTGCCCAATAGATAGGTAGGTCTGAAGAGACCTCACCTACCCTGTGAAATTGTGCAACATAAATCGTGCCTATCTTATCAAATAGTATTGACAATGTCGTGTGTCTGTATAGCCGATTAGACATAAAAATTTGGTACAGACAAAACCAATACCGACACATACAATGGTTGTTTTTTTAATCTAATGTGATTTACTTATTTTTTATTTCATGAGTTTTGTTTGGTAATAAATGTACAAATAAAAGCGTTCTTGTTTTAATTTAATTAATCTAAATTAGTTTAAAGTAATGATGTAAGAAAACAAAAGAATAACAAGGGACATTACCGTAAAAAATTGCTTTTAATAGAAAAATGTTACCTACCTTTCAAACTGGTAGCCATACTTTCACACAATTTTACATTTAAAAAACAAAATTAGTTCACACTTTTCTACCAAGCAGTTAATTCTACAACTAGTATTTGATCAGCTACTAAATATTTTTTAAGTAAAACAAAAAGCATATTTAAAAATGTCTAACACTAAATTGCAATAAAAAGGTCATAGACACCATGACACAAACTAATCACATAAAAGAAAAATATTTTTTTAAAAATATCATATGTAGAGATTGCAACAACTACACAAAAGATTCACATATTTGTATACATAATTAATAATTCTTATCACAATACTCATAAATAAGTGGGTTGCTGCGAGATTTCCCACGGGGGACTAGCTTAAAGTGTGTGTGGGGAGGGGGGGGGGAAGGGGACGGTAAGGAAAGACACTTGCAATGACAACATTGGTTCTGAACCCGCAACTGACGGTACAGTTATAAAACTCTTCACTCGGCCACAACGTCAATTAGAGTTTCTTCCAGGCATCTTTTTAACTCACCCAATTTACCCATGAGTATGCATTTTTTGTTTAAGTGGCCCGTTTGATTCGGGATTTTACAAAATGATTTAACTACACAATTTTTGCTACACCTAAAAACATTATTGACAAAAACCAAGACAATTAGTATGTAGAATAATCGGGAAAGTGTGAAAAAATACATTAAAATGCATTTAACCAACATTTATAGGAACAGTCGGTTATGAATCTATCCCATCTATGGACATATTAATAACAATATTATGACTCCTTAGTTGAATGGAGCATATGAAGGGGTAGTATGGTCAGCACTATGCCCAGCCGCCTTTACTTACCCTAACGTGAGTTAGGTGGACTCACGGACATTATACTGACTTGAACCTGTGTTCAAGACTTTCAACTTAGCAGTCTAGCTATCTACCGCTAGACCACTCCATCTCACGCTAAATTTTAGAATGCTTTTAAGACTTCATTATAGCACTATGAATAAATTAATAACAGACTATTGTGGACCCCCTCCCCCACCTTAAACACCCCCACTCGTGCTTGTTGTGGCAGGGATCCAATTATTCCGATTACTATTTAAAACAAGGCATTCAATTTTTCTATCGACTACTTCTCCCTTACTTTATTGCTTATAGAAAAAAAAATTATTCAGGTCAAAGTTCGTTGCTTTGACGTCTAATGAGGCCGCGAGAGGCCCGCACGTTGACAACACACCTGGTCGATGGCGGTGTGTTGTAGGCGACAGTCCCAGCACTTCTGCAGTTAAAGAAATCACGTCGTAGAAATTGGCGGGTTGGAGGATACGGCTATTCGCTAAAATGTAATGGATTAGCGTCTTGTAAACTATAAGGTAAGTCTCAAATAAGCTGTTTAACGAAGTATTACCTTCACAGTAATGTGAAGTCATGTTTCCTGGCTGTTAGTTTAGTTTGGGCAGAGATGTCTGATATACGCATTTTAGACGCTGTTATAAATAACTGTTTACATCATGCAATTCCCGATAAACGAGAATTTGTCTGCCTTGGTGTAGTTGTAGGAAGTTGTGTATTTATAGGGTAGAGAAGAGTAGTATGTTATTGTTACATTTGATCACCTGCATAAAAAAAAATATATAGGACTTATAAAGTTGACTTTTAACAGTATGCAGAGTCTGTTATTTGAAGTCAAGTTCAAGTATCAAATATTATATAGAATCTAGAATCTACTGTTACGCTGGATAAGAGATATTTATATTTCAGATTGCATATTATAGTAATGTCGTAATAATACTAGGCCTACTAGACACTTAATTTTCGTAATGCAGAGGCTATTAGCAAATCAATATAATAATAGTATTAATAATAGAACTAAGTGTATTGTTAGTAATAGTATTGTAGTCTATGGATCCATACTCCATAAACCTACAATCAGTGGCGTAGCGAGGTCGGGTGTCACCCGGTGCGGCACTTAATGGTGTCACCCCCCCCCCCCCAGAGGCATAGAGACCCTTCCCAGGGACAAACTTTCAAATTTTCGATTTGCACCCCCCTCCCCCCCTCAAACTTTCGATTTGCAGCCCCCCCCCCCCCTTCGAGTTTTTCTCTATATATTTTGCTATTTTTTGCCTTGGTGACACCCCCCCTAAATGGTGTCACCCGGTGCGGTCCGCACCCCCCCTCTCGCTACGCCCCTGCCTATAATACATGTGTAATATGAAACAAAGTAGTGTAATTCAGATATAGATCTAGGCCTAAATGAAGTCTAAATAAATCTTATTAATAAGATTTTTAAAATAACATTAAAACTGCGAAGAAAATACCATATTCTAGGCGTCAAGGCGAAGTCAGTTGTCTAAGGGCGAGTCGCCATGTTTTTTTAGGTCACGTGGTCAGGTAAACGGCCTAGCCAAACAATCGTTATCTGGTCCGGTGAGGTCAGTGGGCTTGTTTACGTTGTCCCTCCTCTCCCCCTCCCCTACACACACACATAAACGGCATTCTGTCCCGTCAGGCGTTGGCTGGGGAAGGGGGGGGGGGGGCGCATTCTGTGGACAATGTTTAAACAAAGCTGTCAAGTGTCCGGACTTGACCCTTGCCTCGGACCGCATGTTTGATATCCTAGCACGTTGCTGCGTTAGTGTCCCATTAGCTAGAGATGAACGACGATATCCCCGTGGGATAGAGATGTATTAAAACATCATGCAGCCGTAATTACACATAAGCTCAGTATTTCTTTCAGTCTGTAGGAGGGGGCACTGCCCCCCCCCACAGTTTTTCTTCCAGGCATCTCTTTGGGGAGGGGGGTATGGAATTTATATAAAAAATGTATACTTTTAACAGCGTCCCGCCCTGACGAAAATTTCAAATGTCCTCCCCCCCCCCCCCCCCAGGAGATAAAGGTCTGAAAGAAAGACTGCACCCCCCCTCACTTTTCCTCCTGGAGGTCTCACACCCCCCCCCCCCCGGACAAAATAGAAACAAATATATAATTTATGTAGAAAATACATACTTTAACGAGTGTCCCACCCCTAAGGTTTTAAGCACCCCCACCCAGGAGAAAATCTGAATAAAACTCTGTATACGTTATTCTACAGTCTAACTCTACCCTTAAGTATAGGCCTCGTTTCAGATGTTCGTCTAAGCTATACTTATTTCAGAAGTTAAAGTGTCCTTTAAAACGTGTCCCCACAATACATCTATGTGGGTATGTAAGGTACGTCTACTAGATGCAAGCTATAAATAAAACTATTGTGTAGGTCTAACGTTAAAACACCCCCCTACCGCTTTGTGTCGGTACTATTGGTACCAGCTGTAGAGTTTATAGGGCAAACAGATAATCGATAGCAGTCAGGTTTTTTGAATGGGTTCGAGAGTAACAATACAAGTCTTTGTGCAGTTGTTTGAAGGTTGGACTCAGTCAAATATGTCACACTGGTGTGTGTTTATTGTCTACGTGTGTATGCATAGGCTAGGGTGGTTGTTTGTATGTGTGTGTATGTATGTGTAACAGTGATTTTTTTGTATGTGTATGCATATGTAAGAGTAATCTTTTGTATTTAGAGATTTTTTAGTATGTTTATGTATTTGTAAGAGTGAGTGTTGCAATGTGTATGGAGTGTTTCTTTTTTACGTGTGTATCTGTATGTTATAGTGATTGTTGGTATGTGTGCCTGTGTGTAATAGCGATTGTTTAATATGTGTATTTAGGTCTAAGAGTTATTTGGTATTTGTGTATGTTTGATGTGATGTGTTTGCTTCTTGTATGTTTGAGAGTGTTTCCATTTAGTATGCAAGAGTGTAGTGTGTGTGTGTTTGTGTTTATATTTAATGTTTTATATTACGTTTTTGGGAATATCCTTTGATGTGTTTCAAGAAGTATTTACCAAGTGATAGAAAGTCAAGTTCCCTTTCGAATCTTACGGCTCATTGCGCAGGTGAAATAGATAGTTACAGTGATACTAACGGATAGTTTGGTCAGCACTTTCTTGCCGTTTTTACGTGAGTCTGGTACCAACCAGAGCTGGGCGGACTCAGTGACGCTCTACTGACTCAAGCCAATTTTTAAAATATTTTTACCCCCACCCTATGTGGTAAGAAAAGACCGATTTGTCACAAAAATACTTAGCACAGCTTACAGCCTACCTTTAAAAAAGATCATATAAACTGTATTTCTAAACCAATGCACATATTGTTCGTCATGTGTGTGTTTGTTTCAGAGTATTGCTTACCCCACCACCCAGTTGTTTGATTCTGGAGTTGTCTCCCCTAGAATAGTGGCTGTCCCCAGGTAACGAACCTGCCCGAGGGTTCGAAAACGAGACTTTTCGGTTTAGCAGCCATAAGCTTTACCACCTATTAAAATCATTCCATGTTAATTATTATTATTGTGATTTAAGTAATTTATCACTAACCCACCCTTTATCCAAAAACCTAAACCTATACTCTTTTACTGTGTGCATACAATCAACAAAGATAACGTCTAACTAGACAGGGGGAGGGGTGGCGACGTGTATTTCTACATCAGTGCAGTTAACACCCGGATTACTCTAGCAGTGCAGCAGCAGTTTCAATTCCCCCCCCCCCACAATCTTCACCTAACCGTGGAGATTTGTTCCACATCACTAACTCCGACCTACACAGTATTGAGTTGCTATAAATAATCATCACTTTTATGATGCAGGTGTTTTTTTTTTTAATTTAATTTTTTAGTGAAATGTGTTTCTGTCAACTATAAATTTGTTTATTTAGAATCGATTGGAGACGTTGCTTTACTCACCAACAGATGTTTTTAAGCATCTCTTTGGGGCCGGAGGTGGGGGGACACTACCCCCCCCCCCTCCATCAGCAAGTACACCCCATTCACCCAAACATAATTGAAAAAAAAAATATTTTAAACGATTCTTTAGTGTCGGCTGAAAGTTTGGAATCCCCCCCCCCCCCCCCCAAAAAAAATAATTAAAAAACACTGTTCACCCCTTATTTCTAACCCAATTAGCATCAACGATATCAGTTATTATATGTGCAGTTAACGGACTTTCCCAATGGCAATACCATTGTCTCGTTTGATTATGTTTCTACAAGTAACCCTGTTAGGGTACAGCGTTTGTTTATATTAAAAAAGCTCCCTATTAATATGTTCAAGCTTTAGGATACATACACAAGCTCAGGGGATGAAATAAACGGTTATAAATAACGTTTTAACCCGGAACCTGAAACAAACAACCCTTCTTTCTGATCATTTCCTTGTATAGGGTTTTTTCTCTTCTATACTGCTGTTATAAACTATATAGCTGTTATAAACGATCGCTTTCTTAATTATTTCCTTTATTTAAGATATAGTGTGTATTTATAGTTCTTTATCAAGGTAGAAAAATTATTCTTACACACGTTAACTATTATAAAGGACCGACTAAAACATTAATTGTCACTGCTATGTGCACATTGTGGTGTTAAAGGAAGAATGGTTAGTATAGAACATTGACGTATAAAACTGACTTTTATTTTCATATTTTTTTTTAAATGTCTGTGTGATGGTACGAAAGGATCTTTGTTTGTAGTTCTTCTTGTTGCACCAGTTGTGAGGGTGGGGATTTTTAAGAAGGCGGAACGAATGAATCCAATAACACACAGTTCAAGTTCTAAATACAAAGTTCTTTATTAAAATTATAAATCAATTTCCTACCTAACTAGCCTGTTAGGTACTATCTACTACTACCACCACTACTTACTCTACTAACACGCCCTTCCATGACCAATCCTACCACTATCTACATTCTAACTGTTCTCTACATAACTACGTCTGCTCCATTCTACAACCTAACACCTTCTGCCCTCGCTAGCTAATCATGATCTCCCGGCCTAACAGTGGCCCACGCTTCAGTGGTCAGCTGACCGTCCCACGTGACCGGTCAGTTCACGTATTTTTATTGGTCTCTCTCTCTGACTAGTCTGACCCACTTGCTATAGCCTGCTTCTGCTATCTACCTGAGCTCGACGCAACCATGCGTCATCACAGTCTGGTTTATATTACTCAGAATGAATCGAAAACATTCACACATACAACGAACAGGCTTTTAACACAATGAATTACATGCAACTGTTTTTAACGAAGATAGTATTGTATAAAAACCAGATTTTTTCAATAATTGCTTTGATACAAAAAATGTCTGTCATTGTTTATTGTTCGTGTGTAATATGAGGAAAGATATTTAACGGTTGGTGGGTGGGGGGGGGGGGGGTCAATCACTCCGATATGTTAAAACGTATGTAAAGTAAATAAACTGTTATTTAATTTCCAATTATAGAAATATTGTAATCTAAGTACATTTTTTAAAAACATATTCCTTTTTAAATTTTGAAATCCGAGTGAACTGGAAAGTCACATTTTTATACTTCCTTGTGCCCCTAGTCTAGATCGACACACACTAGTTATACACTAATGCGGATAGTGCACCACTGTGGCTTTAGCGTGTACTTAACGTGCGTGTAGGGGGGGGGGGTAATCTAAAGGTGGGCACTTTTATCTAAGTGTTTAATATCAGGGGGTGATTATTACCGGCTTTAAATGTTGTAAGTTTAAGTTATGTGATATCGGCATTCGAATAGATAGTGAGGTTTGCACTATGCCAAGGTGTCTTACTTTCCCTAACATCCCATCAGAGCTGGGTTGACTCAGGGACGCAGTCGAATTCTTTGTAATTCAATAACGCTGTCCTGTGTAAAGTTAGTGGAGGTTGTCAAGTATTTTCCTAATAAGGGACACTATCAGGGTTTTCCGTTTTTTTTTCTTTAAGGGAGATGTGTCAACGGATGATGTCATTAAAATTATAAATGTATCAAACAACGTTTTACTTGTGTGAACTGTCACATATGGTTAAACACACACCATTGAGGGAGTGTTGGTTGTGGTGTTTGGTTACTAGTGGTGGTTGGTGGTGATCTGTGTGGTGAGTTGTTCAGGTGGTGGTAGGGTTGTTGTGGTGTCTCGTGGTGGTAATAGTGACGGTGGTGTAGTTGTATGTGTGTGAGGGGGAGGGTTGAGGTTATGGCGAGTGGTGGTTGTTGTGGTGTTTGTTGGTGATAGTGATAGTGACGGCGATAGGGTTGCTCGCGTAGTTGTATGTGTGTGATGGGGAGGGTTGAGATTGGGGCGAGTGGGGGATGATTCGGGGTTTGGTGGTGGTTGGATTGTTTGGGTAGTGGTTGTTGTGGTCGTGGTTTGGGGTTTGTGGTTGTGTTGGTGGCTTGTGGTTTGTGGTGTGAATGATATCGGTAGTTGTTTATGATGGTAGAGAGTTTAAATATGTGAATATGTGTGTATCCTTTATCTCTAACCCGTAAATCAGCCCAATTCGAACACTTTTCGCGCAATTTAATTTGAATATATTTTTTATTATCTCCTAGTTACCACCATGAAGTTGTCGGTTGCCATAGTAACCAGACTGTCCAGCTGGGTGTGTCTAAACGCCCTACTGATGTCTGGAGCCTGGGGAAGCGCCGTCTTGTACCTGAGATCTGAATCAACGGCCACGGCACCCACAGAGTATTATTTTTCCAGCAGTCTTTTCTTGGAGTAAGTCAACATATTCTCTTTTAGGATATACATTTGTTCTTAAAATCTCTTCATTATGGTTTGTGTAAATAAGCAGATCTTTGGGGTCACTCAGTGTGAGGGTTGTGGTAAAATGTCCTAAATATCTGAAGAACAAAATCTGGCGAATATAGGACCTTTAAAAGCATAAAAATCTTTTACACATTTGCTATTGTACAAAGATAAAGTCTGATCATAACTATATCTCTTACCTCTTTAAATTTGTTAATGATATAATGTTCGTCTAAAACCTAGGGCTTATACATTTGTGTACTACTATATGCTAGTTACTGATAACATGTTATTTCTATACCTAGGGTATATAACTGCATGTCACATCAACTTTAGTTACTAATAACTTGTTATTTTTAAACCCTAGATTTTATAACAGAACGTCCTGTCAAATTCAATCACCGATAACATTTTCTATCCATGTTGTATAATTCCATACTGTGTCAACATTAGTTACTGTTAACCCCAGGATGTATAGCTTTTTGTTACTTCTATATACCCTTTTACTGATAACATATTTTGTTTTCTAAATCCTATATTTTAAAACAGAATGCAAAAGTAAAATTGAGTAACTAATAACTCTATCTATTTATATCCTAGATTGTATAACTGCATGTCTTGTCAACGATCCAAAGTCTGCTCCATCATCTATGACGGATCGAGTCGAGTGGTCCAGCAGATAGTCAACTCAACCGGCACCCAAGCCAACTCGGGTCGATACCTCTGCGAGAACTCCTACTCATCCAACACCATCGCATGCAGCAGCTTAAGCTCCAGCTGCCAACGTTGCACGACCTTCAAGATGAGTACATGCTCATGCGGCACCTGCTACTGCATTGACATCATGTGGATGAGCGACTACGAAAATTTAGCCTTAGATGACTACGCCTTTTGCGCGGGGACGCCGCCTTTGAACTTATCAACTATAACGACATTCCAACCTCCAATAACAGCGAACACTGGTAGGCCTACATCTGTAAACGTTGATGCTACGACGCAAACCCCAGATACGATACCGAATTCCACGCCTTACCAAGCACCTTCAGAATCGAATACAAACAAGAGTGGAATATCCGAATACCTGCCTATTATAATCGGGGTATCGGTTGGTGCTGTGGTTATTGTGATCATCATCACGGTGGTGATTCTCGTGTGTCGATGCCGAAAACAAAGAAACAAAGAAAAAACAAACAACGATAAAATTAAAAGAAAAAAGACCACGGATTCGAAAAAATCTAAAAATAACAAAACAGGAAATGACGTCATTCGGCCTAATTTAAGACCGGATGTTCTCGAATCCATTCCGTCTGAATACCCCTCATCTGAGTATTCCACGTCTGAGTACGCGACACCGTACGGACACAACAAAAAGGAAACTCCGAAATCTGAAGAGAATCACTACGATGAAGACTGGACCTCAAGCGGGTTTACCCTGAGCCTGATCCAGAAACTCAAGAGAGAGCCGGGGGATTTCGCCTACAGCAACTCGCTGGCGGATTCGGAGAATTCTCTGGTGATTCAGCCCCGCCCCAAGCCTACGGTGAGTCGGTCAGATTCCAGCAATTTCGCGCAGATCCACAAGGCGGAGAGGTTGTCCAGAAACGTGCCAGTGTCGAACGAGTACGCCGATACTCAGACAATGTGGAATCACCAGGGTTATCAGAACTGGGCTGAGTCTCCGGCTGGTGTGGTTGATATGGGAACCAATATGGCGGACACGCAAACAAACAGGCCGTCTTTAGCAATGAACAGAATTGACCCACAAACAAATAGGCCAGGCCTACCAACAAACCGGCAAGATTTACAAACGAATAGGCCAGGCCTACCAACAAACCGGTCAGACTTACAAACAAACAGGCCAGCATTAGCAACCAATAGACCAGACATACAAACAAACAAACCTGCCTTGGCAACAACAAACAGGCCGACGCCATCTTCCAACAAACCTAACCCTCCAACAAACTGGGCCAACCCACTCACACCCCCCAACAACAGGACGAACCCAACACCAATGACAGCCTCACCCACCGGCATCAACGACCCCTACCCATCTACAAACTCGAGCATACACTTCATACGGACCCCACCCCCTGTGCCACCTAAGCCAATGAAAACTGAGACCTACGTTTGAGTCTCGGAGACCGGTGACCATTGTTTGAGACCTTTTTTATACTATCATTGTACATTAATCACAGGTAAGATTGCCGTGAAGGTATTGTATATGGCCTTATTGCTTGTGTTATGATCACAATCGAGATATGTTACCATTGTATAAGACATGAGTATATGATCATTGTACATTAATCACAGCTAAGATTGCCGTGAAGGTATTTTATATGACCTTATTGCTTGTGTTATGATCACAATGGTGATATGTGACCACTGTATAAGACATGAGTATACGATCATTGTACATTAATCACAACACATTGCCGTGAAACCGTTGTATGTGATTATATTGTATGATCATTATGAAGTAGGCATAACAAGAGAAACAATTGACCAATTTATCAGACTATATTATACGATCATTGTAAATTAATGGGAGCAAAGATTGGCTTGAAGGAATTGTATGTGAACATATTGTGGAATAATCACCATGTATGTGACCATTGTGTAAGGCATTATTATACGATCATTGTAAATTTATCACCGCCAATATTGACGTAACTCCATTGTATGCATCCATATTGTATTCTAATTGTGGAAAAAATCACAATGGATTTATGTGACCATTTTTTCAGGCCTTATTAGATCATTGTAAATTTATCATATCAAATATTGACATTCAACCATTTTATGTGATTATATTGTAGCTTCATTGTAAAGTAATCATAAAAAGAGAGATATGACACAATCTTATCAAATCAACTTAAAAGATCGTTGTAAAATAATCAAAACGAAAGTTATTAGCTTTGTCATTAAATAGATTTTTTTTACATAATTTTCTACAATTATTTTACATTTTAATATATTGATTATATTTAAAATATTGATTTTGTAGGACTGGTTTAAAAAAAAAATATCCAAACGTCTTTAAACCCGAAATCTTTAAAATCAGTAGCTAATAAACCAGCAATAAACTTTCAAATTCAATTAAACTTATTCTATTTACATATGTACCTGATTAGTTTAATGTGTTACATTAAGTTGTTGCTAGATCCAATGGTTAATGTGCTGTGTTTTACTGTATTCATTTTGGTACTAATAGTGATTTATTTATTTTTTAAGTGACATTAATTTATTATCTATTGCATACACGTTATAAGTAGACATCAAATTCAAATTTTTCTTTCCTCCTTCGTCTCAAAAGTTTGTACTAATTCCTTCAATTCCAATTTGCAAGCGTAATCACATTTTATTGAAATTGTTGCTAAGTGCACGAGCCTACTTTGTACTTTACAACATAGCCCCTCTCCCCCCCCCCCCTTAGAACATTTTAAGTGCTTCCCCCTCCCCCCCCCCCTTCCCCGGAGAAAAAAGTCTGGAAAATCCACTGAAACAAAAAAAGTTCTTGTACCGTTGGGCTCCCTGCAGTCCTTCCTAGGTAAGTTTTAAAACGGAAGATTGACTGTCTTTAGTTATAATTGAAAAATGTATAGATTGTGTGACTATGTAACGATTTTTTGGTTTTTGAAAAATAAAAGGTTATAAATAATATAGATTTCAGCCTAAAATTGTTACATATGAATCCTTTAGGAGATGGTGAAAAATAAGAAAAGAAAATGAATTAGATGTTTAACTTACGAGTAAGACTGTATGTATACTTACATTAAGTATTGCAATCTATAACGGCTACTGATGTATTTGTTTTTCAACTTGATAATGCTAAAAAAAACTACTAAACTATTTTGTTGAGAACTTAAGCTATATATATTTTTTACAATAGCAAATAATAACTTAAAGTTGTATTTATGTGTAAGCGTTCAACCTAAGGTGCAGGAATTTGAAATGAATGTTAAGTTAAGCAACAAATAATCTCCCATTTGAAAATCCAAATACCAAAATTTTATTCAAGGGAAATAACTTTCACAAGAATAGCTCAATTAGCCAAGTGTAATTTAGACATGCTTGAAAAAAACGCTCTAACTTTCATTACGTAATAATTATAACAAATATTTTATATTAGCTATGTAAACTTGTGAAAATAATATATTTTATCTATTAATTACTTAACTGTAGATTTTGTTTGAAAGACTAAAATGGTAGCTTTATTATAACATACTTCTATTCAATATCGATGACATTCATTTTGTAGCACTTCTCCATTCTTACCAGTGCTCTAAATAATTTTGATCCCGTACGTAAAGGGGACTGTTATCTCTGTCTTGTCAATATTCAATGCGATGCAAGCTATACTGGCCTGTTTATCCGTGTATATACTTTTAATTTTGTGTTTGTCGGATGTACAAAGTATACTGGTTCCTCTGCAGTTGAAACCAGTACTGTGCAGTGAGTTTTTAATACCGATATATGCATCTAGTTTATCCGCTTCTTCTGTAGTTCCAATGTTAGTTTCCTGTTAAAGTAGGATGTCAATATTGTGTTTATTTATTATGTTGTTTATATAATGTGTTTGTCCCTAGCCCCCCTGGTGTTCAATGTTGCCAGAGTTAGCATGAATTATTTGGGGTTTTCTTTCGAACATCTGTTTCTGGAGGGCTGGTTGGTGGTGGTCTTTTAACGCCAAACTTTCCAGCCGCTGGTTTGCTATCCCGTTGGGCCCTGGTCACGACCCTTTGAGGTGGCTTTACTGTAGGTAATTGTTTTTTACTTGAACTGATTGCTTGACTATACGACAGTTGACCTGATACCTTTGTTGCTGATATACTTTGTGAGCTTTTAATTTCCTTTAGCGGTTTCGTTATGTTTTCTGAACTAGTGTTATCTTGAAAATCGTAGTATGTTAAATCCTTTGAAATAAAACTTACTATTTTTGCTTCAGCGTATGCGCATTTTCTTTCTAAATTATTTCATGCGTGATTATTGTTTAAAATAAAATACACGGTTTATCTCTGGTAATAGAAACGTTGGGGTTATTACATTCCCCAGTGCACAATCATAATTGTTTACCTTGTGCTATAGTCTACTCGAACAAATAATGTCTATAAAGTGTACAGTTAATCCGGCAGCTTAAATTTATAAATAGCGCTTGTTACTTATAACGTCCAGTATTCACTTCAAAAATTTTTTTTACCGTTTGGCGTAAAAAGGAGAAACCAGCCTGAGATACAACTGACAGAACAGCCAATGGGCCCGTATATAAACAAGTTAGTGGGTTACTAAGCGATAGATATTTTAGAACAGCCGTGTCTTTTACAATTTGGCGTGTAGAGTAGCAACCGGCATGTGAAACAACTGATAGAACAGCGAGTGGGTCAGTATATCAGCAAGTTAGTGGGGTGTTTAGTAATGATAGAACAGCCTTAGTTTTGTACTAACCGGTAGCTTTGTTGAGAGAGATGACAGACGAGTCAAGCGTGTCCAATAGGGGGAGGAGCCAAAGTTTCAGCTGTCACCTGGGCTGTGTCAAGCGACAAGATGATTGGTCAAGCCTTGGGCCACGGGTGGGTCAGACACGCACCTATGTTGTTAAGGCTTTGGTCAGTTGTAGACGTTCTCGGTACTACTAAACGCTCACATGATGCTGTCGGCATCAGTTTCTTTTTGGCATGGGGAGGGGGGGGGGGGGGGGAGACGCCTACCGACCCCCCCCCCCCCCCACCCCCAACGAAATACTTCATTTAGAAAATAATAATATATACTTTTACTACTGTCCCACCCCCTCCCCGGAAAATTTAATCCGCCTCCACCTCTCGGAAATTTTAAAGTACCAACAAACCCGGTGAAAAATGTCTGAAAGAATCACTGGCCGGCATCTTGCGAATATCTTGTCACCTATTTCCATATAAGGAAATAAAAACTGCGCAACCTGTGTTTTGTGTGAAGGTGTTCTAAAAGTCTTACACAAAGATATAAATATTGTACAAAATGACTGCGCGAAAGTTCATAGCTGCTTTTCAATCGCGCAGCCGCGCAGCTTAGTGGAAACATAGCTTGTAAGGTGAATATCTTTCAATTAATGCACCATTATATTTTTGTTATATAAATCAGCGGATGTATGTAATGCAGATGCGTAGCGACCCTTCCCGGCGCCCGGCGACAAACTTTCAATTTGGCGCCCCACCCCCATATATTTTTATATTATAATGCAAAACTGCAACTAAAATGAGCTTTTAATGTTTTTTCAACCCATTTTGGCGACCCCTAGGGTCGGCGCCCGGGGACATATGTACCCCCCCCCCCCCCGCTACGCCTCTGATGTAATGACCCATCAACAAGAGTGTAGACACTTCAATTCGATTGTCCTCTAGTGTACTCACTATTTAGGGTACAACCCGGGTTTTATTTTGCGTAAAAGTATTATTGTTTTGGTCATACTAAAAAAATACGTCTTGAAATTGTGGCGTATATCTCAATGCTGGGCATGTCACTATGATTTCCGTAGCTTCTGTTTCGCAAATTTAATTCCGTATACACGGAAACAAAAGTGGCAATCAATTTAGGCGAACCGTCATAGACAGAGTTTCTTCCAGGAATCTCTTGGGGGGGGGGGATGTAGGAGGAGCCCTTCCCCCCCCCCCCCCGAAGAACATTTAACGCTTAACGCCCACCCACCCCACTCCCCCCCCCCCCCCGTGCGAACGAAATAGAATTTATATAGAAAATATATACTTTTACCAGTAACTTACCCCCCCCCCCCCAATTTATTTCATCCCTACTCTACCCAGCTAGCAAAACTAGAAGCCTTACCTAACTTTGTACTGCTGAATTGTATCTTTATAAGGAGGTTGTGAGATGACTGTCTTCACAAAGCCATCAAAACTGCATCGTGCACAACATTAAAGATTGTATTTAATCAGATGTAGATTCAAGTGTTTTGTTTATTAGCTGCATATGAAAAATTGCAACTCAAATGTGTGAAAACACATAATCGTATTATTCACTGAGGATCTTGTTAGTACATTGTAGTGTAGCAAGAAGAGATGTTATATTAATTACAGTAACCTAGCGTCTCAACTGTGTAGTCTAAATTTTATGATTGCGTTAGAACTATGTTGTATTTTTAGTAACAAAATTGAATTAATAATATGAACATAGCTAATTCATTACTAATAAATAAATTATCAAAAAATGTAATTAATAGAAATGCCGAATTCTATATTTTTTAAAGTACTACATTTCCTTATATTTGATACCTTCAAATATCCCTTGTATAATATGAAAATTCGCTTATTGTTATTGCATGAACAATTTTGTAAGAAATAAAACTTGGAAAGAAAAATGTGTTCTGCTTTATTTTTCGATTTTGAATTTTTTTTAATCGATATTTGGAAATAGGTGTGTAATGTCTCTTTTTGCTTAGGCTATCGGCCCTATAAGCTGAAAATTGTTTTGGTTCTCATGTTGATAGCGTGTAAATGTCTCCCTGAGTATAATACGAGAATCCCTGATTTTTTAAATCCAAGTGTTTTGTTAAACACTTTATAAAACAAAGGCGCAAAATGTGTCCCACTTGATGGTGAAATATTTATTCGTTAATTAAGGCATAAGTGGTTATGCTATTTTTAATATCACTGATTTCAATTAAGAATATTATATGTTTAATTTTAAAGGGAAATGAACTACAAACATAAAATAAAAAATACAGTTATAAAAATGATGAGTGGAATGGCACATGCTCCCAATTACAGGCGTGTTAGGTTGTTGGGTGTTTTGTGAAATATGACATGAGTAGGTTCCAGGTTAGCGTTAGGGCTTTGGTAAGACTTAGTTCTTAGTTCTTAGGTTAGTAGTTGAGATTAGACGATTTTACTAGCAGTAAGTTTAGAATCAGTTATCCAACACTTCGCTTTTTATTGTATTGTGGTATTACCTGACATTTGTCTGTAAGTCTGTAGGACTTCTCTGATTCCCCCTAAATGAAATTAGGGAAACTAAGGTTTCTGCTAACAATAGAAAACTAAGGTTGTTGGACCATAGGAAACTAAGGCTGTTGGGTATAGTGCTGACCATAGGGAACTTGCCCTAAGGCAATTTCCATAAATGGGAACTTGGCCAAATGCGGCAAACGTCCGCACGGACACTTGCCCGAATGTTATACATTTCTAAATGGGCATTTGTCCATTGGGAAAAACGGCCTTTGGGCAAATGACAAGTGGCTTACGACAATATGTCGTAGACCCGTTGCTGTCCACACTAAGTGTACAGAGGTCATTGAAACAGATACCCTCTACTTTATCTGATCGGCACTAGCGGGATTAGATGATCCCCTAACTCTGAATAAAACATACACAAGAGATGATTACATTAGATTGATAGTTAAGTAAAAAGTAGTGGGTTTTTTTTTTATGAAAAAAAAATGTGTGTAGCGATCATAATAGATAAACAATAGCACTTGTGTTGACAGCTTCAAAGATTCTGCCCGCACGCATCACTTCAACTCACTCAAGAGCTTAAAGTGGTTAAATTAAGCTCACCATCTGGGGAGATGTTGTTTGTCTGACTGGCCATGAGTTAAAGTTTAGTATTGTGCGTGATGTCAAGGCAGATATAAATAACACTACACACATCGTAAATAAATGTACAGTATACAAGGCAGCGTAGAAACACACGGATTTCTTGTCGCTCTACGAGGTAGAATGTTTGAAAAAGGAAGGCTGATTTGTTTCGTTTCTATTTTCTACATGTTGGTAGTTGTATGTGACAGCAACAGCTACATGAAGATTAGAGAAAACAGTTCTTCTAAAAATGTAATCAAGTTTGAATTTACGGATGAACTATTAAATAAGTAAGTAGCTCTACAGTTGAATGTGTAAGCTGGCTCTCTATATACATAAGTACATATATATATATATATATATATATATATATATATATATATATATATATATATTATATATATATATATATATATATAATTATATATAGAGCATGTATACATAAATATACATACATACATACATACATATATATATATATATATATATATATATATATATATATATATATATATATATATATATATATATATATATATATATATATATATATATATATATATATATGATCATCTAAGTAATTTATACTTTCGCATAAACATTCGCAAGTATTATTATTACTTTTTCAAACCTGTTTTTGTATCAAATTTTTAAATATGACATGATATGGCTGTATTCGGCGCAAATAGTGGTCCTATTTTTCTCAAAGAACAGAAATGAGTGATAAGTATTGTTGCAAACACTTTATAATTAGAAGTTGTTTGGCTTCGAATTGTCATAATTGACAGTTCATTAGGAATTTTTAAAATTATTATTTTAGAGAATCGAAAAATGTCAGATAAAGATTAAAACTACCTGATGCGCCCCTTAAAATCAGATGGTTATCTGATCTGAATAGTTATTTTTTTTTTTTTTTTTTTTTTTTTTTTTTTTTTGCATCTGGTAATTGTTTTTTTTTCAGATTCACCTCCTGCTTGTGTAAAAATATAACGCGGCAGTGTAACTTCACGTACACGCAAGAGGAATCCGACGATAGAGAAATGTCAACTACAGCAAAAGCAAAAATCACAACTATAGCAGAAGTAAATGGACCGCAAGGGAGATCCTTTTTCTGCTTCTCTTGCGCAATCGAAGATACAAATCGCACCAAAGAAAACATCAATCGCACCACTGTTTGTCAAAAGCATTTCTCTGCAGGTGACTGCGTAAATACAGTCAGTTTTCGTGGCGAGAAAACCTGTGGAACCGAATGTTTGAGTTTTAAGAAAAATTATGACGACGAATCACTCGAAGTCGAGGACGATGAAATTTGTTCTCAAAAAACTAAGGGAACAAACTCAGAAATTGTGGTCGTCATAATAGTTATTTTGGTTATCGTTCTTGTATCTGTGTTATTTGCTTTTGTCTTATGGAATAAAGGAGTAGCTTCAAGGAAATTTCGATTTGGCGCTGTAAACAAGACAACAGAGTCGCCATGCTCTTGTGAAGATTCCCAAAACTTGCAAGGGAATTCAGCACAAAACAATCCACTAGAAAATTCCTGTTACAATTACATCGACACGGCACTGCTAGAAAATTCCGACTTCGCTGAAGAAGGGAAGACCAACACAACTAAAAACCCACGCACATCTCCTACAGTCGCCAGCGACGAATCACCGGTAGTCAACAACGAGTACACAACTATTGATGACGTCAACGGAAGCGGCCTTACACAGACCAACGTCCAGTACTCCAGGCTTGGTGAGGTGACCAGAGACTTGACCAACCCGTACCACACATTGACAACACCCGAATTAACAACGGCCAACTCAAGTGCAACCCTTTACATGCGTGGACACAAAGAACTCGATACGACAGTCAACATAGACAAACTTACGCTGAGAGACAATCTAGACTCAACCGATACAAAAAGTTCTGGTCAATATTTTATTTTAGAGACAGCCTCAGAACAGAAAGCATTATGTTAATTGTTTTCATCAAACTTAATTATATTTTTACATCAAATTTAATTTGATATTATGGAAAAAAAATAATTGTATCTTTAAAAGTGAAGGGACAATTTTAATAAATTCTTTTTGAAATATTGTAAAAAAAAAAAGAATGTGTTATTCCTAATTTGTAATTAATTATTTGTACGAACGCATTTGTTTACTAAAACATTGGCTCATTCTGATTAAAATACAATATAAAAATATTTTTAGAATCAACAAGAATGGAAAAGTGGCAGTAAAGTGAATGATATAATTTTCAATAAACGTAAAGAAATTCTTGAATTCAAAATGTATAAATTCAGTTCGTAATTTAAAATGTTACTTTAAATAAATTTTTCTTAAAATGCTTGACTGTGATATAATCGTTTTATGGAAAAATTCAATTTAAACAAATAGCGCAAGAAAAAAAATATTATATATATATATATATATATATATATATATATATATATATATATATATATATATATATATATATATATATATAGAGAGAGAGAGAGAGAGAGAGAGAGAGATAGATATAGATATATACACACACACACATATATATATATATATATATATATATATATATATATATATATATATATATATATATATATATATATATATATATGTGTGTATATATATATATATATATAAGTTTAGTTAGATCATAGTAGTGAATTTAAAAAAGTTTTTTAAATGGAAATGCTTTTAAAATGTTCCGTCGCCAGTTTCTCGACTTCTTTCCTGTTGACTTTACCTACAGGGAGCAAGGGGAAGCTATCCATGATGACAAACTTGTCAGGGACGTAGGCGAAGTTCAGTGCTCCGTCAAGAAACATCGCTTGACAGAAATCTTTCAGCTCGGCATAAGTTAATGTTGAGTCGCGTTCTTTGACGACACACACACATAACTCTTGTGTGGCCTCTGGGTGGGGCAGTCCTGAAAACAATATATATGCATATATATATATATATATATATATATATATATAAACATTATATATATACATATATATATATAAATAAATGTATATATATATATATATATATATATATATATATATATATATATATATATATATATAAACACTTATATATATACATATATATATATATAAATAAATAAATAAATATATGTATATCTATATATATAATTCTCTTCTTCGAGCCGTTAGAAAACAAGCTGCAAACGCTCTCCCTACCTCCCCACCCCTACATGGTTTTAGTGAGCTGTGTTCACTCTAAATGTTTACAAGCAGAGCCAACGATTTTAAACGTAGGGGGGGGAGGAGGGGGGGAGGGAAGGAAGGGGGGGGGGTTATGGTCCTTAACGAGCTACTTATAGTGTTTTAAAGAAATATTTTCAGTGTCAGCGTTGGTACTGTCGAATTCACAAATTATGAATTATTGAAAATTAGAAACAACTAAATAGCGGCGTATGTTATGCCGCGGGCCGGCTCGTATATATAAATAAATGTATATATATATATATATCTATATCTATATATATATATATATATATATATATATATATATATATATATATATATATATATATAAACACTTATATATATACATATATATATATATAAATAAATAAATGTATATATATACATATATATATATATATATATATATATATATATATATATATATATATATATATATATATATATATATATATATATATATATATATATATATATATATATATATATATATATATAAATATATATATATATGTATAATATATATATATATATGCATGATTTTAAAAACCCACAGTTTTCACTGCACATAAAATATAATGTACAAACCCTATAATAATATACCACGACATTACATATTACGCGGGAAAGTTCAGCAACACTACTTTACCTACGATGACCACAGTCTCAATCCCTGGACATTTCTGTACTCTCTCCTCAATCCACTGTGGGTAGATGTTAAACATTCCGCTCACGATGACGTCAGACTGACGTCCGATGACGTATAGGTTCCAGTTTTCACTAAGTAAAATTGAAAATAACTGAATCATTAATTTATTTTAAAGTTTGGAGTCAATAGGGGTTTATGTGGTAAGAGGCAACCAATGGGGGGGGGGGTGCTTGATGGTCGTGTGGAACGAGAGTATTGATACATATTTTAGGGAAAAAAATTCTGAGTTTTTGGTTAAATACGATTTCTTTATTTATTGTTGTTCTATTGATTGCATTTATTGTTAATATAACTTTTAAAAATAAACATGTCAGGGTTGTTTACTTGAAAATTTTGGGAAGAATTTGAATTAAAATATATATATATGCCTAAGCGTAGAAAACAATTCCTATTGAATCTGTTTAAGGAACAAGTTTACAGTTGTTTTTCTTATCGCATAGTATTAAAGATTGTAAGGTCATCAGGTATCTGATTGAATGTTAACTGTTTACTAAATTCTAGTCAGGAAACCAACAGAGACGAGCTAGGTATCCACAAGAGACAGGTAAGGTTCCCACCAGAGACGAGCCAGGTACCCAACAGAGTTAGGTACCCACCAGAGTCAGGTTCCTACCAGAGTCAGGTACCCACCAGAGACGAATTAGGAACCCACCAGAGACGAGTCAGGTACCCACCAGAGACGAGTCAGGTACCCACCAGAGACGAGTCATGTACCCAACAGAGACTAGTCAGGTACCCACCAGATACGAGTCAGGTACCCACCAGAGACATGTCAGGTACCCACCAGATACGAGTCAGGTACCCACTAGAGACGAGTCAGGTACCCACCAGAGACGAGTTAGGTACCACCAGAGACAAGTCAGGTACCCACAAGAGACGAATCAGGTACCTACCAGAGACATGTCAGGTACCCACCAGAGACATGTCAGGTACCCACCAGAGACATGTCAGGTACCCACCAGAGACATGTCAGGTACCCACCAGAGACATGTCAGGTACCCACCAGAGACATGTCAGGTACCCATCAGAAAAGAGTGGTATATCCACCGGAATTTGTACAGGCACAAAAATCTCCTAACAATAGATGCCGGTTTACTATCAAGCGTAAGATTTTTGTCTAGAAACCAAATTTCATAAAACTTTCGCAAGTTATCTTATAATTATTATCAGTTACTCAAATAACACAGCTTAGTATTACTTTAAAAATGTATATCTTGATATACTTATAAAAATTTACCAATTAATTTTCAAAAGCAAATGAATGTTTTTCATGTAGCTTCCCCTCCCCCCCCCCCCTTTTCTCACGTTTTCTTTAACTTGCTTTCGTGTCTGTTTGTTTGTTTGGTTCTCCAATCAAATCTTGCGATCGAAATTTCGGGCACTTCCCAGTTAGCTAGCGCGCTGAAATTTTTAGAGAAGCTTTGTTTCCGATGACAATAGAATATTCAATTGTTATTATTACTAAATTTATCCATGTAAACATTTTATTGATCATTTTAGACCACTATATAATTGTACAAAAAACGTGGGAAAAGGGGACATAACCCAGTCATTGTAATTTGATGAAAACAAGGTTCGGTACTCTCCCTCTTTTTGCTTACTGAGTAGTGGTCACGCGGTGTTTGTGTACAAACAACCGGTACGTAACAACTGGTGGCCAGTATGGGGGAGACGATATGGTCGAGTGGTTGGGCACACTATTGCTAACCCACCCGACACGGCTTCAAGGCACGTGTTTTTTACGAGTTGTCTTCGTTTACCCAAAAAAAAGTGAATGCGAAAAGATAAAATCGATAGCAAGATTTTAATGCAAACAAACAGACAAAGACTAAAAAGTAGAAAATAATTATCATTAAAAAAGTTTTAAAAAACCCACGTTTTCTGATTGTACTAACAAGTAGAAAATAAATGCTATACGTCACAATAATGCAAGCGATCACTCTACTATAAGCGTTGAAAAACGTGGGGCGTCGTGATTTTCTTACAGTTTCTAATACTGTTGACTCTCTACAAGCTCCCTAATAAAAGTCAATAGTATTATCTAATCAATAGTAATATAACTTTTACATCTTATATTAACAATGACCGATAAAAAAACTTTTACTTCGGCGCCCCACGTTTTTCATCGCTTATAGTAGAGTGATCGCTTGCATTATTGTGATGTATAGCATTTATTTTCTACTTTTTAGTTCAATCAGAAAACGTGGGTTTTTTAAAACTTGTTAATGATAATTATTTAAAAAAATAAAAACAATTTATATAAAAATAGCCTCCACCCACTCATAATATCCAGCATCTTTAATGTTGGTCCAGCCATCGTCTGTGACGTCAGGTACCTCGGTTGTGTTAAGGTAACGTCTGGTTACTGTGCTACCTGAGACAAGGGTTAGATCATAATTTGGTAAGAGATGTATGGTGGGTAGGGGCTGTCGTGATCCTAAAATAAAACATATGATGTTGGATGCAGGCTAGGAAAATGGTCCATGTTTCCTAATTATATTGATGAAGCACATTAATTAAACTTATGGTCATCATATAAGTCTATTTATACATTAAATGAAAAGTACTATTTGTAGAGAAGCATATTGATATGCACTATTATTAATAGTACAGATATTCATATATCGATGATATTTTTTCTACCTATTTTAAAACTTAATTCGTGCTTTCGTGTTTGTATAACATACAGTCACACAAACAAATACATACACACAGACAGACTAGATTGCACAGTGGAATTTTCCGATTCAGGAAGGTACAAAGTACCAACACGTTTTGAACGACTTCAATACCTAAGAATGGCCACAATACTACTATAAAACCTACTGCAGAATTACAAGTCAACCACAAACATAAAGTAAAGTTTCCACAAAGTTTCTTGTAAACCACAATCATTTCACAACTAATTGAGACACGGCACCTTTTACATGAATGAGTCCAACACGATTCGGTTCTGTAAACACTTCTTTGGTAGTTTCATCAACTAATCTGATTTGCATGTAGGGGTAGTTCTTTCCGACAAAGCAATCCTTAATCTTACCCTGTAAAAATATTATATTGTCATCAGTAAGTGTAATAAAATACATTTTATACATTAATGGCCTTACTTACAACTAAACTTACGTACTCCAAAAGTCAATCATTGGCTAACAACAAGACAGTCACCAATTATTGGCTAACAACAAAAGGGTTACCATCGATTTTGTATCAACAGTCCCATGAGCAATGACGCCCGTATCGACGGAGCCATAAAATGTGATTATCACCTCAGACACTAGGCTCGCCGCTTGTAAAACATTCTGTAACAGTAAAATTGTTACAAACAAGATACATGTAATAGGCCTTATTCCAAATTTATTAAACCAGCCCAATCATTTTCTTTTACTGCATAGATTTAACTTTATTATGTTTTTGTAAAAACTGCTAATCTCAAAGTTTCTGTAGGATGCTTCAATCCACCCAGTTGTGATGGATTACTGAGAAACAGTGAAACAATTTTCTTTGGGCATCGTGCTGACCACACTATCCCCTTGTATTCTAGGTCACTGATACAGTTTTCGTCATCTACCCCCATCGCTCAAGGATACGAACGAATAAATAATGATGAAATTTGTTACAAGCAATATGTGTATACTACATACATTTGTCAAACCAGCAAGTCTACTTTTTCTGACTAAATGAATGTTTCAACCTAGTTTTTTTTACAGCACGCTTTTATCTTTGTCATATTAATATGATTCTTTTTGATCCAAGTCAGTAATAATAATTTTAAAAAACCCACTAAAAAACCCACTCCCAATAGCATCATTTACACTTTATATTTTGTTTAAGTCTTTTAATTTTTAATCTTGATAAATTATTTAAAATCGAATTTCGTTCGATGTTTTTATCGTTGCCATGCTTATACAGTCGTTCTTTTATGCGCCAAAGTTGCGGCTCTGAAGCAAAACAATACAAACATTTAAAGCATAATAAAATTAAACTTCACGTTAGAAAATGTAATTATAAACTAAAGTAAAAATAACATTTAAACCTGTTTGAGTGGTTGACCTCCTAACAGCGTTGCTCTGATTCGTTTCTTAAAAACACCTTCTTCATAAGGCTGAGGAAAAATATTTTATTCCTACAGCATGGTATTGTTAACTCACTGTGTATTGGGTGCTAGTTTTGCTAATTTACCTAACACAAAACTCTCAAAATGTGAACAAATAAATACAATGTTCAACTAATGTAAGGAACCCTCACGTAAATAAATATTTGTACAAACGCAAATACTTGAACCAAGTGTGTCGGTTGGATTAAATATTTCAGTGTTCATTTTCTTTTGCACTAAACTTAACTATCTCTTCTTAAATGAAGGTTTAGTACCCCAAAAGCACTATTAATATTTTGCTAACATTCCTTGTTTTAGGTCTTTAGAAAATTGGCGATTTCTCTGACAAACTAAAAACAAGTTAATAAAAAGTCTAATGACAATTTAAGCGCAATTTCCTTATGTTATCTAAAAATAGCTCTGTCGTAGCGTAAAGCACACATGGGGACAAAACACAAGACGTATAATCAGTGGCGGAACTAGAAAAAATTGGCCACCCCGCAAAAAATGTTTTTGGGCCCCCCCCATATATATGTATATATATATATATATATATATATATATATATATATATATATATATATATATATATATATATATATATATATATAAATATATATAACAAGGTTCGCTCTCAATTTAAAAGAAAATCCATCTGGTACACGAATAAATCAGAGGTTTTCCAACACACGAGCTGGCCCCTTTCTAAATCTAGTCCAACACACTAAACTGATGGGTGTGACAAATTGTTTCTTCCGGCAGTGCTCCCCCCCCCTCCCCTCCCCCGAAAAGAGTCTACCCTGGAAGAAACATTGGTGCGACACCTAATTAGATTTAGTCATCGAGTGTAGTAGCGAGACTTATTCCTAGTGTTGTGGGAACTTTTAAACGACTGTCTGTGGGGGCCAACTTGCTCATATGTGATGCGCTCAGGATGACACTGACGCCAGTTGTATTCAAGTAGTAACCTCATCCGCTTATGCAGGATCACGGGGCGCTAAATCACATATTTCCGTTAGGAGTCCCCACTCAAATATGTACAAATGTTAGGCCTATGACAGAAACATTTGCGGGGCTGTACTCAACAGCTTCCCAAGTTTTCATGGCGATTGGGTGAATGATGCAGTAATGCATAATAATAATAGAGAGAAAAATGTTTTTCACATGTACAACTGTATGTGGCCAGGTCACGCGTTGGATAACCTTCTGATTTAGGGGAGGGGGGGGATTAACAAAAAGCCTGACCCTCACACACACCCACCTCAATGACTATTAATAATGTTCAATTAAATCTAAACGTTATAATTAATTTCTAAATAATTATATAAAAAATAATCTTACCTGCCCTGTTTTGTGAATTAGATGTGCCTAATACTATGAAAGTAAATTAATATGTGTTGATTAGATCTAGTGCTGTCTAGTGTCTGACAAAATGTGCTGAAGTGGTGAATCGTACGGTTAGGAAGTAGTTCATAAACGATACATTTATCTCCTCGATACTTGTGAGGTTGAGAAAGAGGGATGGGATAGGGGTCGGCTCGGGAAAAAACTTGAAAGGGACAACAAAACGCCTTGATCTATGTATGTCAGCATCGCCCATTGTAAAACTTACTCAGGGGAGATAATTTGAAGTATAGGCCTTAAAAGTTTACTATATTTCTTGTAAAATCAAAAACAAGTAAACGTATATAAAATTGAAGTTTCTAGTATTATATTATTTTTTTAAAATTATTTGTACGATACAAGATAGTACAGGATACAAATTCAACCACTATCACAAACAGATATTAACATTGAAAAATGTACAATGGATTTCGGGTCCCCTACCAATGCCGCAAATAAGAACCGCGCATCATGAAAGTATTGCAAGCCCACTTCATATGTAGCGGCTTTTCGTGCTATGGACTTTGTTGTTTTTTTTAAAAGAATTTAGCCGGCGACAGCGTGTGTTTGATTGTAGGGAAATAGAACTCGGCCTTGACGATGGTTAAAAAATACAACTATAAATAACTGTTTTAATATGTAAAGAATTTGTCGACAATTTTTTAACCCCCTTTTTGGTCCCCATCCCCTGCCCCATCCGCCACAGTATACTTTGGAGGATCGGTCAAACAGTTACGTGTCCTCTATTTAGCTATCAAAGGGAGGGGGGGGGCAACGAGTCAAAGAAGTCATTCAAAATTTGAAGAGTTGCCTATATTTTACACTGTAGTTTGTGTAATGGATTTTATCTTTTGCGGAAGAGCGTGGTATAGTGACTGTAAAATAAAGATAATCGTACCGCAGCTACAGTATTTTTCTTTTACAAACCAAATATTAAGGCAAAAATTAAATTCAAAATTTAAAAAAAAAAAAATTTTGGTCAGCCGTGGGCCCCTAAACGGCCTTCCCCCCCCCCCCCCCCCCCCCGCGCATTGCGGGGTCTGGCGGGACTGTAGTTCCGCCCCTGTTCATCAGGTAAATGAACAACTACTGACTAGTGTCTTTAACAAAATGTGCAGAAGTGGTCAGTTTACAGTTCGTTAATCTATGCATTACATCTTATTGTAAGAGTAAGGGTGTGGTGAGGGGTAGAAGTGAGGGGTAGGGGGAGGGTGGGAGAGTTGGGAAGGGAAGGGGACAAGAAAGCGCCGATAAACATCTACATCAATAGTGCCGACTTTTTCCGATCGTCTAGAAGACCAGGATAGTCGCCTCGCCGCAACATTTCCCCAGCCCGATTTCAAAGCGTACCGGCACAGGCAAATTTCAAATGCTTCGTCTTTGAAGTTGTCTATATGTCTGGCGGTCTCTCGAGCTATAGTCAGTGCATTTTTCTCAAAGACGTTTGCCGACTATCGTGTTTGTTTGTAACTGTAGAAGAAAGATAACTCGACCTCCACCTAATTTTTTTTTTTTAAAAATAATTTAGCCAGGATTTTTGGGCCCCCAATTGGTCTGGGCCCCCCCGCATTGCGGGGTCTGGCGGCACTGTAGTTCCGCCCCTGCGTATAATGCTTGGGTGCGTTCAAGCTAGGAGAACGATCGGTTTGTAGGTGTTTATGTAATTTTAAAAAAAAATTGTGACCGAACGAAAGGATATTTTTGAAAACTTTCTTCGGCAATATTGTTCTAAATTATGGCAGGAATCGATTGGTAAATGTTTCAAGTCGCTAAGTGGTCTAGTTGCCGAGATATGGGCCAAAAACTGCATTTTTTTCTTGAGGATTTTTGGCTTTTCCGGGAAATCCAGGAAAGAATTCCGGGAATTTTTTTAGCCCACAATCATCCTCGGAACTTGCTTAACATATTTGCTTTTGGAACTAGTCCTCGATATTGCTTCGTTGAGGAGGAGATACGACTTAAAGCTGCGGACATCCATCCATCCATCCATTGCGGACATCCATCCATCCATCCATCCATACAGAAATGACGAGTTAATAATCGCAATTCTCCAGAATGGAAATTGCGCTAAAAACCAGTTACATATTTACATAACTATAAATACTAATTTTAGGTTCAATCTCATTTAAACTTTGAAATCAATTTTATTTAACACTCTCAGTCTTCCTAAACGTTACAATATCTCTATATTTCGGGAAAGAAGTTAATAATTACTTATTTACATAAAATGATTACAGCAGCAGCCATTATTGTTAACCAAATTCATTATATTAAAATTTACCTTCTTTAGTGTCATTATGTCTGCCGCGAATAAAAAATTACAAGTGGCACCAAGGTTCAATGCAACCTCCCAAATGTCTGTCACTTGTCGCGGCTTGATGCCATCGAATATCTCCTGCACTAAGACAGGGAGGCCCTGAGACATGAAGAAATGGGGGAACCCGGTGAGCCAGCCAAACGTGCGGTCGTTGAAGTAGATGTCGTCTTTTAGCAGGACAGGGTGGCCGCCCGAAATAGTCAGAACTTCGCTGTGGAAATGGACGGAGTAGAAACAGTAGATGTTTATTAACGCAGGTAAAGTACATTTGGGAGGGGGGGGGGGGTGGAAGTTATCCTCTAATGCATGGGTGGTAAACCAAATCTATAGTGAATGTTTGTGATCTACTATTTATGTAACAAATGGAAAATTCGGCCAAAACGTTTTATGGTTGCCTAGCTAAATTACCCACCATTTTAAATACATGGTTCATTGTGTGTGTCACGACTTGAATATATAATCAGCAATTAATCAGTTGTGAGTGTTTTTCTAACTCTTCCATCGTAATTCAAATATAAACTGTTGTAGTCCAGTCTGAAGAAAACCGTCATACTAGAACTAACTGATACAGCAGTATATGTATCAGAGACAAAGGAGCACTTTACTAAAACGGTTTAAGTACCTGTATCTTACTGTCGAGTTGAAATAAAACAAATATAACAATGTTATTTCAGAATCTGTTAAGATATTTTGTAATATAAAAAAACACATTTGCTCGTCAAGAAAAGTAACCTCACAACCCTCCCTACCGATGTGTTCTGGGTATCAGTTTTGACAATCCTGTACTCCCTGAAGTGGAGAAATAATACGCATCGTCTTCAGGAGCGACGTCAGCCTCGTAGAAGTCTTCATCATCAAGACCAGCAAGAAAACTCGTGTGGTCTTCGTGGCTCCTCAACTCGTACACAATCACTTGTTTCAAATTCGGTGCCTTGTCACATTGGATTGGGATTATAGTTTCTGTGCTGTGGAAAAAAAGCGATCTTCGTTATTTTGTGTCACTACCAGATTCAGGGCCTCTGTTATAGCTGGTCTATCTGCCAGATCTCTTGCGATTGTTTTCACTTGTTTTTTATTGTTTTTAATAAAGATACATCAGATTTAATTTCAGTGTTACATGGGTAAGTTATGTCAGGATTTTGATTTTATTATTTTTGTAACGTAGAAAACAGTTAATTAATTAAGTCGATAACATCAAGTAGTAGTCTATTTTTGTAACACCGACTGCGTGTTATTCAGTAATGCAGCTCAAAATGCGCAACGAAAAACTGCGAAAAAAAAGTGCGCAAAGGCATTTTTGTTTTCTTAATTCGAGCATTTATAACATTATCAAAGAATGATTACATGTACATTGCGACATAATAAAGCATTGTTTCCACGAAATATGATAAAGTTAAACTTTCTCATTATAATTAATTTGTATTTGCGCATTTTCCTTTTTGCGCAGCTTTCCGTTGTCCAATTTACTGTTTACCCATTTTTCTGGGAACATTAAAAATACACATCAAAAATTAAGTAAAAATTATTTTACATATAACAATTTAATGCCACGTATATATTTAAATTATTTTAAATCTTACTGTTTTCCCGTAACAAAGTTTTTCGTAACAAAATACTGTTTCACCATCTGGAATGTTGGATGGTCAACCGATGTGATGATCATGGAGCATTTCGAGTTTCTAAGGGTGGTGAAAAAATCTTCACCGTCTTTGAATGTCGGCTGCAATGTAAACAGTAAAAAAAAAATACTGTCAAATCCATTAAATTATAGTGTATATATCGTCTGCTTATTTTAATTGCAGTGAAATAGCTTGTTTAGCTTTTCTAATTCACGAACATTTACTATATGTAAAAGTATAACAATTATAAATAATATCCAAGCATATTTTCCTTACCAATCCATTACAAACAACGCCACCAGTCATTAGTATTCCCATATCAACTACGATTCTTGTTCTTGAGTTGGCCATTAGAGAACAAATTATATCCCCTTTCTTTTGAAGACATTAAAAAATATTTTAAAATACTTTATAATTAAAAACATTCATAAATATTTTAAATACTTTATAAAAAAATGTATGTATGTCTTCAACAGAAAAAATTCCATAGCATTCATCCATATCATCTCACCTGGATACCATATCGTTTCAGACGAGAAGCGTATCGTCTGCTCCAATCATGCAGTTGTTTCCTTGACAACGGTATCACCACATTTTCCATATTGATAAAGCAGAAACTTTTTCTATGAGGATCTTCTTCGGCCAAATGCTGTATCCGCTTATTGATGGTATCGGCAGAGGGCATTGTTAGTATGTTTAAGTAGCTTCGTATGTATCTAAATCAAATTAAACAATTACTCTCATTTATATAAAGGTTAAAAATGTGCAAAATCCAAAATTAATTAGTATTAATTAGAAATTAAACTCTAGATTTAAAACGAAAATCTATAATTAATCTTAAATTATAAATCGTGTTCCAAATGTTAAAGCAATTTAAAAAAAATAATAACGTTGTTAAACTGCTTCATAAAGTTTCTTAGATATCAACAATCTTTAAAAAACAAAAAAAAACTAAATATATCTTTCATCAAGCTCGACAAAATGATCCTTTATACAGAACGCAATATATATATATATATATATATATATATATATATATATATATATATATATATATATATATATATATATATACGAGAAAAATGGCCCGTTGAGGAAGGATACAACTTGCGCTAGGTTGATAGTGCTGTCTATTTTCTCGGTACTTTAATTTATACAAAATATAGTCATAGGCATATCCCTAAAACATGCACCTAATCTCATTCATGACAAAAGTCGCATTTAGAGTTTCTTTCAGGCAACTCTACTTGCGAGGAGGTGGCATCGCCCCCCCCCCCCCCCCCCCCCCCAGACACACACTCCAAAACATGTCTACCGTCCCATGCAACGAAATATAATTATATACTTTTTCCAGTGTCCTCCCCCTCCCAGAAAATTCTACCCCCGCCCCCGAAAATTTCAATTACCCCCACCCCTCTCCGGGGAGGAAAAAATCTGAAAGAAACACTGGTCGCATTTGTAGATCATACAAACTAAAGGAAGAATCTGGGCGGGGCTTCGCCCCTACCGGAAGAGATGCTTGAAAAAAAACTGCACGCTAAACACTTTTAAGATTAGAAAAAGTTCCCCCCTCCGGGGAGGAAAAAGTCTGAAAGAAACACTGGTGTCGCGCTTAGCCACTATCCGAAGAATTGCATTAAAGAAATTGCAAGAAAATTCTCACATGAAAATTTTGAGATCGGTTATCAGGTTCAAGCCTGTAGGTCCTTATTCTGGTTTTTATTTTTTCTTGTTTGCAGTGTTATGCGCTAAAACCCGTAGACTCAGATTTCAGCCTGCTTTTCCCTCTGGACTTGCTTCCATAGCCTTTGTTCATCCAAGAAAAAAACTAAAAAGTTATCCGCTTTTTGAATTGTATCACCTACAGCTTTATTTGCTGGGAATTCGAACTCGGGACGTTTCGCTTTAGTCATAATTAATAGTCGTTAAAGCAGAGTGTTCAGATGGGCGACAAACATTTACTCTAAAGTGCAACTGACTGGAGTAATTTTATGATTGAACCGGTCCTTATTTTTGACACGTCAGCTTTTTTTAATTACGGATTGTTTTTACTTACATCCCAAATTTTGTAATACATCTTTATCCACATGTAGGCCTAGTTAGATAATTTAAACGTTTAAAAGATCACGTTTTAAGTCCAGAATGATAAATACTTTAATGCTATTCAAACAAGCATATATATATATATATGGTTCCATGACAAATGATCTCAGGACAAATGATCTCAGACAAAATATCTCAGACAAAATATCTCACGGACAAATGATCTCAGGACAAATGATCTCAGGACAAATGATCTCAAGGACAAATGATCTCACGGACAAAAGATACCAGGACAAAATATATCAGGACAAATGATATCATGGACAATTGATCTCAGACAAAATATCTCAGACAAAATATCTCACACCTAAATTTTAATAGTGTAGTTTTTAGATTCTGATGTGATGTCCGGCGAAAATATTTTGCGGACAGACAGAGAGAGAGAGAGAGAGAGAGAGAGAGAGAGAGAGAGAGAGAGAGAGAAGTGCGCACAGGGGCTATTATATATAAAGATTGTTTTTAACATGAATACACACTGCATTCTAAAATTGGTTACATAAAGCCAAACTTACCCCCAGCTAACCATCCAGTTTTGTGTTTTAATGAATGCTTGCAATTGGTAGCATATGGCTAGCTTTATAATTTTGATTACTTTGAGTAGGGCCTACAGCTGACCCAGACACAAAGGATAATTATACTGACAGCTGCCTAATTAAATATGATAGAGTTAGTCACTTCACGCGACAGGAATAATTCACAAGCTAATAAATGCATTCGGTTATCTGTATCTATACGTTCAGGTTAGCCTAATTTTAGTTGGGGTTTTAATATTAAGCTTATATTATCTGAATAATTGTGTTACTGATATTTTTTTCTTTTCAAAATAAATGTAAGACAATAATAAAGAATAAAAAGAAGTACGTAGGTAATGTTTACACGAAACATATCACTAAATGTTTAATATATACTATGGCAGACATCTTTTGAATGTATTGTGCTAATTATTTAAGGCAAATGAGAAAGCACAGGTAGATCTATAGCCATTGTAACCTAATTTTATAAGTGCTATGCTAGCCTTAAATGTACATTAGGCTAAGCCAAATGCAATACTCTCTCCGCGGAACTAATAGGCCTATATAGAAACGGAAATAAAATCTATGTAAAGATTTTACTTATTAAGCAGATACAAAAAAAACTTGTCTAAATTCAAAACAAATTGTATGAGTGAAATTGATTTTTGAAGCCCAATTTTCATTATTCTATTTATGTAATGAAACAAATCATAGGTTAATTCTTAAAACATATATTTAGGTAATGAAAATCCACAAGAAACGCGCTCTTAAAACAAAAACTGTGAACCACGTGTGAAGAATTTGCTTCAATATGAATAACTGGGCCTAAATCTAATTGCCAAAAACACCATACCTTTGTACACCTACTGCATTATTTACAATGGCATGTGTTGGGGGCCTATTTATAAGCAAGCTTTATGGGTCCATAGTAAATGTGCCCGTTATGACGTCACGCAGCCCTCGTTTACGAATACAGGTTTTGATGGGGGGGGGGGGGGGGGGGGGGAATTTTGCTTGCTTTCTCTTCTTACTCTATTATTACTCTCCTTATTAAATACGACGTTTTATCAGTCTCCACACATATAACCTACTACTGTGATAAGGACGAGATCTACGTTTAATCTACACCATCACATTCCTCCCCCCTTTCAAATAAAAAGCTAATTATATTAGCTTTTTCGTAGGTAGTAACTTGTGTCAATAACTGTAACATACAACAATCAATAAAAAACATGTTATATCAATACACTCATAACATTGTAGTTCACATAAATAATAGTACATTCCAACTACCAATTAATGTCACAGTTTTTTGACATCCGTTGTCTGCCTTAATCTTTGATTGCTTGATCCCTATGAATTTTTCCTCTTTGATACACACACTAATTAATCGACCGTTGCGGCTTGGTCGAAAAACTGAACGCGACCGTGCGCAAGGATTATATTGTACTGCCTATTTATGTACATATATTAAGTTCTATTTCTGCTTGATCTGTTCACGTTAATGTGTTGTTCTGCTGATCTGTTCACGTTGATGTGTTGCACTGCTGATCTGTTCACGTTAATGTGTTGTTCTGCTGATCTGTGTACGTTAATGTGTTGTTCTGCTGATCTGTTCACGTAAATGTGTTGTTCTGCTGATCTGTTCACGTTAATGTGTTGTTCTGCTGATCTGTTCACGTTAATGTGTTGTTCTGCTGATCTGTTCACGTTAATGTGTTGTTCTGCTGATCTGTTCACGTTAATGTGTTGTTCTGCTGATCTGTTCACGTTGATGTGTTCTTGCCAACGAGTTGTTCGTGTAGATGCTGGCGTCATAGTTTAATTTACGATGACATCAGAATGGGGCATCACGACGATACGTCATAGCGGCTGTCCCTTTATGGTTTTCTGAGAACACATGAATGGACATGTCCTATTAAACATATGCCTCGTTAGCGTTGTTTGTGCCGACAGACAAATAACCTTCCTCTTATAAAATAGTCCCACCAAATTTTGATATGCTGGTTATTTGTCCACGACACACTACATGACAAAAATACTGGCAACTACATTATAATCATCAACAATAATACTAACTACATTATAATAATCATCAACTATACAACTGGCCTTCCAACAGAATTAGATCAGATACACTTAAAGAAAAGACATGTGTGTTGTATTGTGTGTCACATATCTGTAGTGCAGGAGCAGCTCTCTGCCTGTGACTGTGTTATTTACAGGAATTACTTTCTCGACAGTATGTCGGGCAGTCGGTTCTGTGTACCCGGGATAGGAACAACTGTGAACTGGTAGTCTTGTAGACTTAGCGCCCAGCGAGTTAGTTTAGCGTTAGATAATTTCTTTTGATTGAGGCCTTTAATGGTGTGTGGTCTGTTTGTAATTCAAAGTTTGCACCTGCGAGGTATTTTGATAGTTTTTGTACCGCCCAAACAACAGCCAGACATTCACGCTCGATGACCGCGTAGTTTTTCTCTGCCGGGGTCAGTTTTCTGCTGACATACATCACTGGGTGCAGGTCCCTATCAAATTCTTGCATTAGACATGCGCCAATGCCTACCGATGACGCATCTGTGGCCAACGTGAATAGTTTCTTTGTGTTTGGTAATTTCAGAATCGGTTCCGACATGAAGGCGGCTTTTATCTGTGCTAAAGCTCTATCACACGCTTCAGTCCATTCCAACTTCTTATTTTTCATAGTGGTGTTTTGTTTCTGGTTTGTTCTTGTTAAGTTGGTTAATGGCTCTACAATCATGGCAAAGTTATTGATAAATTTCCTGTAATAGCTACATAATCCTATTAGGCTCCTGACTTCTTTTATAGTCTTAGGTACTTGTAACTGTAAAATTCTGTTCACCGTGTCTTGAATGGGTTGTTGTTTTCCCTCTGATATTGTGTGGCCTAGGAATTAGATCTCTTCCATGCCAATCTCTACTTTGCTGGGCCTTGCTGTAAGGCCGTGTGTCTGCAGCAGCTTTAGTAGCGTCTCCACTCCTCTAATGTGTTGTTCCCATGTTGTATGAAACAAACAAATATCGTCGAGATAGGATATAACATCATCCCGCCCATGCAGCACTTTCCGCATGAGTCTGTTAAACGTCGCTGCTGCATTCATCAAGCCGAAGCTCATGTAATTCCACTGAAGTAGTAATTAATATACTGAAACAGTTTTATTGAAGCATATTATTTCATATTTTACCACACAGAGACTGATGTGTAAGCTTAAAGTAAAGACATAAAAGTATCAGCCATCAAGAGGGTAAATATTGGTAGTCTACTTCATTAATCTTCAATATGAATGAACACAATTTTAAATCTATAATCTTTGCTGATAATGTTTGTTTCTTGTTATTCATCATGTTCAGTGCTTTATCTTTTCAAAGTAATTAGCTATAGTAACGAAATAGTAGATATAGTAATATAAATTTGTAATGTATTTCTCTTGCTAGTTCCACAAAAGAAAGTATCAAAATATTTTGCCTTTATTTCATTTACAGAAGAACATTCAAAATCATATTGTGATACACAAGTCAAGCAAGTCTATGACCAGCATTATGATACAGGCCAAGAAAAAGCTGGATATTTGATTGGAAGGGTGGCACAAAAAAGATGGGTTATCACTAGGCAAACAAGCTCGGAATACAGTTCACTGTTGGGACAGCAAGCCAAATACTTCTAAACTTATTTGAATCATTTTTGCTGTTTATTATAATTCATCCTATTGTCTTATTAAATATATAAATTTATATATATACACAATTCCTAATATAGAATTTCTAAAAATGTGTTATTATAATATTTAAAAATGAAACAAAAATTTTCATTTTAATCTGCAAAAGCTACATTCTGTACATTATTATTTTCAAACTACATCATATATTTTTCTCTTCTCTGATAAAAAATATTCCTCATATTTTTTGTGTCAAGTATTTTATTTTTATCTATGCAATACTATATTCCTATTTTATAATAATTACTTTTATACACATTCTTTTGAAAACTGTTCTTTACTGATTTTTATCACTTTATTTATTTCTGAAAAATAAAACTTTGTTTGGGAATCCTTTTTTGTTTTTTTACAAATTAATAAACATAAATACCTACCAGGCTTAATATCCAGCAACATTAAACAATTAAGTAGGGCCTATTGTTAGTAATGGTAAATTATATACTAATTAATGTGATTTCTCCTGGCCACCTTGTTCTGAATACCTTCAACTGTGTCAATGTTGCTACCAACTCCAATAATTGAAACTGAAGCCATTTACTATGAAGTAAAACTTGGGTGTAATCCAAATCCACCCAGTTGCCGGGGGCAAGGTACCAAACATGATGTCCAGCAGAGGGTTAAGAAAGTATCATTATTAAATCAATATTAAACCCCTCCTCGCCTACGCCCTTGCTTGTATACATATGGACGTTATCGGAATTTACTGTATTGCTTTTAAGTCGAAAATGCGAAAAAGACATCTTTAACATTACTAGTTTGAAGAATAACATTCATGTTAGCCGAAACAGGTGCATTCTAAAGTTGTTTAAATTCATTTTATTGTTCATTACGATTATGTTGTCGTAAAATATAGGCCTATTTAAAAAAAAAAAGCATAACTAAAAAGTGTTTTAACGATTTTCTTCTTCCAAAAGCCTCACATGCATGATATCATTAACATTACGGCAAATCAAACCCTTGAAGAAGCCCCATCAACCATTCAATTATTACGATGGGCAACAAATAAAACGCCCGAATTAAAGTACAGTCCTTATGCTATCGACATTAGCTCAACCCCGGCAACTAACGTGTCCCAAAACCAAGAATTGAATTCTTGACCCATTATTCTGATTAATTAGTGGTTAAACATCTTTAGGCATCTGAAAACGTTAGTTTTTAATCTAGTGTACTAAAAAAGGAACAACATAAAGCTTTATGCCGCCTTAAAAACCCAATCCCATGTTACGCAAGGCGTCAATAGAGAAAGAATAACGCTTTGAGTCAGAACAGGCAAGGGCTTAGATAACTGCCAAAATACCTAATCTGTAGACCTCACAAGTCTAGAAGATATATTTGTGCCTCTGTTTTTAGACTTTCAGAAGAAA